TCACTGCTGCATCCAACCAGTTGCTCCTTCCTTCCTTCCTTCCATCCTTCCTCGTTGGTTTGCTTTTAACGGTTCCTTTAACTCGTAGCAGCAACTCTCGTAATTTGATATGAGCGTAAACGCAATACAATTAAATTATCATCTAACTTTCTTTTTTATTCTATATTATCTCCGGTTTATTAACAAACAATTTCAGATTTTGAAGACACTTGGTTATCGTAACTCGGGCAAAAAGTTTCCAATACGGTCTACACTCATTTAACCTCATTTGTAAACTTTATCTCGTTTTGAATTGATACGATGCTCGTGTTCTTCATTTGTTTCTATAGTTTTGGTCTTCTAGTGCATTAAACTTAAAAGGCTAGGTCAGCGCCAAGACTGTTTGGACCCTAATTGTTTTAAATGAAAACTGAGGAAGCGGCAACATGCATGAGTGGCATTTGTCTCCGTTTAAATGCGGTTGACCGTTTGTGACAGTGCCCGGGCGGTTAGTTGCCGGCTTTTCACCGCGGAGGCCTGGGTTCGCTCCCAGGGCAGTCCATGTAGGGATTTGCGGTGGATAACGTGACACAGGGACAGGGTTTTCTTTCACCGTTGCTCCATATTCACTCACATGATTCTGAAACATGAGTCTATAGCATACGAAGCAGGAGTGTTAAACATTGGTGCGGCTATGTTCAGTACTGTAAAGCAAGTCAAAATTAATTCTGATCTCAACACATTTCCCCGACGGCAGAGACGCCACTGTGACAATGGAATGCAAACAGGTGCGCTTGAGTCACTTTAATTAGAGATTATTAGGAAAATAAGTCGATAATTCGATGCGACATTTCAATATTTGCGACGCTATTCTATTTAAGTGTTTATGTGTCCTGTTCTTTTACGATAATTTGTACAAACCGAATAGAGTTGGATGAAAACTGGTGGAATTAAGCGACCAATCGGACGGAACGAAGGAAGACCAGCGTGAGAGGAAAACCACTAAAAATTCAGAACAAGAGATATAAGACTTTTAGTGAAATATAGGACTGAAAAATTCGATTTTTCGTACCTTTTGCGAGTTTTTACATTAGCTCTTTACAAACATAGTTTACAATGTTATAACGTTTTTTAACCAATAAACTTACACTGGGATAACGAACTATAATGAAAACGAAATTCACACAGAATGATACCCTATAATTTATAAACATGTAATAAAAGCA